TCGAGAAATATGCCTTGATATGAGTAGAAATGTGAGACCCTTGGCCTTTCCCCCTACTGAGTGGAGAAGACAAGAAAAGAGAACGGGACGTGCCTGGAAGTTTCCAATTGTCTTGAAGGATCCTCCCGCGCCGAGCGAATCCATATATCGATTCCATACGTGGGGTATCCCGGCACGGATTCCCGCTGTTTGCTTCCTGCATGGAAAATGTGAAGCAGTTCGTCCGGTTCGGGGGCTTTCCAAGGTCGTGGATGTGACATCCTCGATCGTAATTGACTCAATACTTCCTGGGTTTACGTTTTAAATGGCTCGCATGACGAGTTCATGCTGCGCTTGAGTGAAAGCATCTGGACCGGTGCCTGTGAACACCTTGATTTCTTCTCTTCATCTGACAACATTGACTGTGGCACTTTTCCAATTCTCGGTAACAGACGGAGCAGGAAATGAACGAAGCAGGAAGGAAGTGTAATTGGCTGAGGCTTCCCCGATTTCCAGGGAAGTTGTTATCGTTAAGTTCTTCCCCTGACGATGTGCTTCATAATAATTGCCTTATGAAGCAAAGGATGGGCTGTTATTCTCCTGGGTAATCGATTCACTTCCTGGTGTCGGCCTTTCCCGGATCGATGGATGGGACGGAAAAAAGGAACGGACGGGATGTGTGTAGATAAGCCAGTTGCATCACTCGTTCGGCAGAATTTGTCATTCGATCCCTCAGCGCATCATTCCCAATAGGATTGAACCTCTTCTGGATGACCTTTAAGAGACTGTACGTGCCTCATGGCTCAGGATCTTTTGCTGTTCCAGCTTTTCAAGTTGCTAGGGATTTTCTTTTCCCAAGCAAAAGTATGGCGAGTAAGGCGAGTAAGTGCAGCTCTTTTCTTCCCGATTTGGCCAATTACGCCCTTCTTTCCCTGATCCCTTCGATTACCGAATGGTTCCAGATGTGCCGATATAGCTTTCTTAGGTTACGCTGCTTCTCGTTGCTGTCACTTCCGAATATATTTTCTCTTTTTATTTTGTTTCCTGAGGGTCCTTCTGGCTTCGCAGGCCCTCAAAGGCAACGGTTTCCATAATTTTTCTCTCTTTTGCTCTTTTCATTCTCTTGCCCTTTTTCTTCCCAGCTTCCCATTTCATACTTTTCTTCAGCCTCCCTCTCTGTTGTTCAGCTTCTACTTCGCTGTTTAGCCCGTATTCAAATAATGAGAGTCTACTTTCAAACCATTCGTTCATGCTGGATAGATAAGGCGACCAGGTTTAATCATGGTTGGAGGGAGTCGAAGTAATACAGGCAACCTTCTTGAAACATATGTGCTCAAAATTGTCATTTACTTCCCTGCAAGCGTGCCGACTCCCCTGGAAATCGGCAGGGACGAATGGATCGCGGGCGAGACCCCCCCCCCCTCGCACCGTTCCCATTGCCCCTTGCCGCATCCATCACCGGGGTGACGTCCTGTCCATTACAGAGACCTCGCAAATTGATCTTTCCGCGGCTTTCATTCGGATCATATATTGAGTTTGTTCAGGTGGGGCTGACAGGGTTGCGAGATGAGAAAATTTGTTCGGCATAGCAAGTATTGCCAGATTGTTTTCCTTCAAATTTCCATATTCTGGTCTCAGGAGACTCTTGTCGCCTGATTAATGCAAATCCAATTTTGCTTTCCTTTGCTCACAGAAGCCTATGGCGCAAAATTTTGGCTAGTCATTGACTCGATTTTAATTAATTGACATTGACTGATTAAAATGCTCATTTTAACTGGTGTTTGAACCCTGTAATTTCAACTGATATTCATGTTCTGCAGGCTCGTAGCTTTTCAATTCACCTTCATTGTTGATTTTAGCACTTAGTTCTGTCGTAGCCATGGGATTGACATTTCCGTGGAAAGGCATTTTAAAGGTCAATATGGTTTATAATTGGATTACATGACTCTCCACTGATTCCAACATCTTGCCTTTCAGCATAATGAGTTTTGGAACTCAAACTCCATAGAGCCTCGTTCTCATATAGATTTCCTGCGACATTCAGGGATGACTTTCTGGAGAGTTACATCCGCAAGAAAATTGCATATCTCTTCTTGCAATATGGCACTAGTATTTCCTGTAGGCACTTGTATTTCTATTTTCTTTCCAGATAATTTCAGGTTAGTCATGCTCCATCGACGATGACCTTTCCTCCCTCCTCTCCCCCTCCCACAGTTTCTCTAATAGATTGTTCTTTTTCCTTCCTGACTGAGCAATTGGAGGAATTCCACAGCATTGACGGATTCGGGGAGGGTTGGTTAAGAATTAGGGAACCTTTTGCCTTATGAAAAATTAATGTATCCGCCACTGGCCCACAGTGACAGTCTTTCTTCTTTTACATTGCATATTTCATATTTAATACGTCGTAAGCTGGATAGAAATTTCACCAGCCTGTCACCCCTTACATTGCTGCGACTAAAATGATTTTTTTTGCGTCTTTCTCGTTTTCGGTGAGTTTAAAGAACTGATGATGAATTCGGGCAATTTGTGCGGTCAGCCCCTGCCCTCTTCAATTCTTTTCGTTCGAGGATCGCAATTTAGCAAGCACAGCATTGTCCTGTAATGCTTTAATGCATTCTTCCCCCCAATTCTGAAGTTGGCTGGCTTCCAGGATTTCAGGCACAGGATTGACTTTAGCCACGGTCCCAAAACCATCAAAAATAACTAAAATAGGTTTGTGCAGCAGACCGAGGACAAACCCGGTCTGCTGCGCAAAACCTACTCTCACGTCTTGTTAGCTTCGACGACCCGAAATTGCATGAAGTTAACGTAGCAGAAACAACGTGGCTCGGGATTCGCATAAACACCCTAATATAGGAACATTCGCGAGGTGTTGCAGGATTCCTCTCGTATTTTCAGCCCATGGCGCACGAGAGCAAATTTACATGGAGGGTTGCTCAGAACGAAGTACTCCCCCTGGATGTTCGAACCCATGTCTTATTTAAAGTGCACTTTCACGGAAATTGCCATGGATGTGACACAGGCAATCCAGAAAAAGGTTGTAAAGAAAATCCAGAGTTGACTGTTTTCTTGGTGCCGTGCAAGAATGGAGATCTCGTTTGTGGCTTGTTTCGAAGGAAAGTGGTGGCCATATCGAATATCTTCGGCGAACTGTCTAAGGAGTATACCTGGTGCCGACAACTGTGTGACAACTCGAATTGCAATTTGCATGGTATTTTCTGCAATGTACTTTTCTGTACTTTATTCTGAGCAATTCTGCATATGCACCTCTTGGGCAACTTCGTGCGATATCATGAAATTTAGTCCTGAAGAAAATATATGGCATAATCCATAACCTTTCATTTTGCCAAATGTTACCTTATCACTGTACCAATGATCAAAACCTGCCATAGCTGCAAAAGGAAGGATTTTCCAAGAGATTGTAAAGTGCAGGCTTTCGGTACTATCTCCATCTTGATTTCCCCCCCCCCTTTCTTCTTTTTCTTGCTATCGCTTCTTCTCGGTGGCTTTTAGATGGATGGAATGGACGCTTTTCAATCTAAAGTGACCAATGGTTCCTCAACGCTAGTTAGTTTCCTCGCTCTTTCGTTCCAATGGCGAAAATTCGACGGGACGAAGATAGTTCTCGTTTCGTAAAAGCAATGATGAAAGCCTTAGGTTGGGGACGGCCTTCATGAATTCCCTTCAAGCAGAAGGGATTCTTCAGCTTTCTTGGGAGTGGAAGCTTATACTCCTGAATACCCCCTTTCCAAAGCCGGTCTTTCGGGAACCCTTCAATGGTATTCATGACTCTCCAGGCTTGAGCTGCCCTCGAAAAAGTAAAGGGGAGGCTGGGCTCCCCTGCGGGGCGGCTTTACCCTCAGACTAGATTCAGAAATAATCACTGCACTTCGGTAGTGGCAGCTTCGTTTGGTTCGACAGGCGCAATTTCACCGAGTGCCTAGATTCGTACGAGACTGAATTGACACTCACGTTCCATGGTTTCATGCTTCACGGATGGTTGTGGATCTCTTTCAAATGCCGAAAATTGTTGGAGTTAAGAACAGAAATAATCTGGCTTTGCTACTCCAACGGGAATCTGGTGTCCTCGTTCCATGACAGCCCTTTTTGCATTGGCGCCAACATTTTCCACGCCAAACTTGTTCTCTGTCGTCGCTATTGCGTGTCTGTGTTGTTCTCTTTCGACTCAGTTCTGTCTGTGCCTCGCACTAGTCGCCTTTACTACCTGCTGATGTTATTATTGACGCCATTGGCGACCTCATCGATGGCAGAATAAATGTGGTGGGGATAAGAAAAGGACCCCAGTAAAGGAAAAAGCAAAAAGAGATGAAAGGCGGGTCGCGGGAGTTCCCGTCTATCGCAATCAGTGATTACTCACCCACTTCAATGACAGGGACCTCATAAACCCAAAGACACGGGTATTTCGTCGTAGAATGCAAGGGCAATAAACTTTCAACGATATGACATCACTTATGCTCCATGATAGAAATGGCAATTTATTGGTTCTGTCCCAGTTATATTCCTTTGCCAGTCATGGAAATAAGCCGTCGGCATGACTGGAACTGACATTTGACATTTCTATGCGGTCCCAATGGGTTTCGAGCACATCTCACCTCATCACTTCATTCTCGTCACGTAGGAACATCAGAAGATTGAGACGGGAGTGGGAGAAGAAAGAGGAAATTCTATCAATCTAAACCCAAGCTATTCAAGTTATTCACGAGATATAAGAAGTGAATGGAATCCCCCCCCCCCTTTTATTTTGGCCGCGAAAGGAAGGGTCGAGATCTAGCCCGGGGTAGGGTGATCCAATTAAGAGCACCTGTGATGGATGATGGGAGACCATACCGTAATGAAGAAAGTAAAGGGAGCTGGGATCTGGACAGAGATTCGCTTTGAAGTTACACCGTGCCCTTCTACTAGGCTGATTCATCTTCAAATAGGTCTTTATGCTGGGCAAGGACCGGATACAGGCCGGGGTAGATGCTGAGGCCTGGGCTATCTATCGATCCTGCAGAGTCATGAGGCAGTGAGGCAAGAGACAGCATGGCAGCGTGGTGGCAGCTCCTTGGCTTTTCTTTTCTTTAGTGCCACGCAATTGAGACTCTTCTCGTCTCCTTCCACTCCTATCAGCAGGTCGGATCACGCCGCTCCTTCCCGCACTCCTCCAGAAGGGCTTCATTTTGAGAGAACGGTAACCTTCCTGCCCTGTGTAGGAGCTGTAACGTCGAACTTCTAAGTCCGGGACATTCAAATACCGAGCTGGGTTGGTTCTTGAAGGGACTCACGTTAGCCCATCATGGGCTAGGTCTGACAATAGGTCTTAATCTAAGAGTAGCCGAGACTGAAAAATCGGGGCTTTGGTGCAACGCGAGTTGTAGAGTTTGTGCATACTCTTAAAGCTGTTCGTAGTAAGCTTACGTCATATTCCGTATCAAATTCTAACCTTTCGTAACTTAGGCCTTAACAGGTTCTAGTTATCACTCGTTCTCTTACTAAATTGTAATGTTAGATTCACTCTAAGGCCATGGTGTTTAATACGTTCGCCACTCGCCTCGTTTTACATTGTACTTTACTGTGTATCAGTCTTGATTGTTGATGGTATACAACCTCAAACCTACTTTCAAAGGATTACGCATTCTTTTTATTATTAGTGCATATATTTTGTATAATGTGGTGAATATGATGACCTGATCACCACAAGTTTGGCTTGTATTGAAATTCTATTGGACACCAATGCTCTAAGGCAGGGGTTGGAACTGTTTTGGCAATGTGAGCCATATTAAGATTGAACTAAGTGCTTGTGAGTGAAAGATTTTCAGAACAACTGAATTTATCCTGAAGTTGGCAGCAGACACATGGATTCTTTGATAGATGGGAGCAATGAGAAACAACCATGATTTTCAGCCATGACTCAATTAGTCAAACTTTTTGGCTTGTGAGACATAGGTTCCCGACCCCTGCTCTAAAGGGAATGTTTGTTATCATGTTGTGTGCAACTCTGATACATCAGCAACAGCGGGCACTCATGCTGAATGGGAAAGAAAGAAAAGCAATTGATGAAGAGAATGCCATGGGAATAGTCCAAGCAATAGTAGAAAGAGCTGAAGTATTTATATATAGAGAGGGAAGATATAGTGAAAAGAGCCCATGGAAGCCAAGAGATGAGGATCTTTGTTAGGGGCATGGTCATGCTTATACCAGGTGTCCTCAGAAGATGTTGCATTTTGAAAAAACTTTATTTCAGATTTCAGAAATGGCTTTTGACTGCTGTGCTTTTGAAAACATGGCATGTTATATCATGTGGTGCTACCAGGTCAGTGGGCACTGTGGAGAATTCACACTTATTTTAGTGTTAATGCCCATTTCAATGCGTATTTGGACTAAATGAAGTTCGTTTATAATATATTAATAAGGTTTTTTCAAAATGTAGCATCTTTTTGGGACACCTAGTGTGATTTGTGCAGAAAGGCTTTTTTTTCTGAATCTCCTTCCTTCTAGAGTTTTCCAGATGAAGACATAAAAAGAGAACAAGGAGACTGCTGACTGACCACAGCTTAAGCCCATCGGACAACCACTGCAGAAGAGCACTCAATTTGCTCAGAGGAAATCAGTTCATCGTAAAGAAGTTACTCTCAGAGGAAATAAACAATTCCTCTTTTTGGGTTGGAGCACTTGTTATCATTTTAGAGAATGGGGCATTGATTTAGATAGACATGTATAAGCTGTGGTCTAGAAAGTGCTTTTGTTTTATCATGTGTCCATGTTTCTTTACTGAGATGTAAAGTTTTAAACATTGTATAGAGACACATTTTGCATAAGGCATGAAGGAAAGATGTATCCTATGCCTTCTTCTTGGAAGAAGTTGATTGTGCAGCATGTAAAAATTCACATAAATAAAGAAGAATGGTAGCAAAATGAATTGAAAATAACTAAAAGAATATAATAGGATGCATGTATGCAGCTATTATTATACTTCTAAATCTTGTTTCCTTGTTGTTGATGGTGTGATATCACACAATTCTCAACCATTTCCATGCCATGGACAGTGATTGCCATCACGAGTTTTTTAGACCTGGGATGTACTTTGGACACAGTTGGAAGCAGAATTAATTTATTGGTAAGGGGGAAAAAAACTGCATTCAATTATCTTTACTAGTTACACAGATACAAGCACTTCACCTACCACATGTATAAAATCCACCATGTAGGAAATAGTTCTGGCAGCAGTGAACTTATGCATTTCAAAAAGTTTTGGCACAGAAAGGTTTGACCTGTTTCATACCAAATCATTTTGGCTTTCTATTCAAAATGTACTGAAGAGCCTGAAGATGATGTATTGTACTCCACTCTGGTTTTAGTAGTTTAGGGTGTATGAAAGCCTGCCAGAAGGGACTGTTGAGACTGTTTTCCCAAATTTTTTGAGGATCATATCTTTGAGATTGTTGGAACTGCAGAAATAAATTTGTAATTTTCCCATGCCTCATGGACCTTAATCTGAATGAGTTATCAGGAAGGTTTGGATTCACGATTCCAACCCAACTTGGAATACAATTAGTCTCATTGACCTGCTTGATATACCTAATAGATAGGTATGATTCCATATAAACACTGAACACTTAATTTGAACTCACTTTAGGTTTCCATAATGATGGGTATATTGATTGAACTGGAGTTGATGCACTCTTGGAGTAGGGAAGCTTCTGGGCTTGTTTTGCTGAGGAGTAAATTTTGGTACAACAACCAAGCTGTGCTACAGAAGTAACCATTTCATGAGACAGTATATCTGAACCTTAAATTAGCTACTGGTGTTGTTCAAGAGCTAAGTTCAGGAGTACATTTTTGGATTTTAAGCCAAGAGTGTATTCATTTTAAAGAAATGAATTAGGGTTGATTTTAATACAGAAGATGCAGGGATTTAATCCTGTAGTAGTACTATTCTAGCTTGGTATACCTGCACAATATCTCTGTTGCAAGTCTGACCAAAGGACAAATCTGCAATTTGATTTATTGAAAAGGATGAGAATTTTCCCTTTTTTGCACTGAAGAATTAAAATTGAGGAATGTTAGCTTAGCATTATAAAGCTAAGATTCTAACTCCCTGGTGTGAATATTCATCAATTAGTACCAGTGACAGAATCAATACCAGGAGTGTGCCTTCTTTCACATTAAGCTTTTTTTTGTTGTCCTAATTTCCTTTGGTCTGTTATGGATAAAAGAAATTGATTATTATAAATGACTTTGACTATTATAAATGAATGAATTTTTATGACTTTAAATTATTATTTTTCAGTTGTGTGACTGAGGAAGTCAACACTGTGTGGACAAAATATGGAACGCTTCAAGGTGACTTCTCTCGGAGGTGGAAAGAAATATGGGGCAGCAAATGTTGAAGAGGACTTTGGTAAGGTTGAGAATGGTGATGACACCAAGAGTGATCATGCATTGGATGATGCTTCGGTGATGGTTGAGCCTGCTTCTGGACCCAGCACTCCTCCTCCTGCTGGTATCTTCATACTAACCACCTACACGCTCTCTCTTACTTTCCTGAACTCTATCTCTATCATTCACTGCTTGGGACCACAAAAGGAAATTTATGCTCATGACTTTGAGACTTGAAAAACGGGCCACACTGTCACATGCATGCTTATGCTTATGCTATACCTAGGTGTTACTTTCTATTTAGCCAAATCTTTTTCCCTTTATTACATTATGCAAAATGCAGTTCCTACCATTATGACTTTATACCAGTAGAGTGTCACATGCCAGAAGCACAGTTTTTTTTTTAATGCAGGGTTTAGTCTTTGGCTATGCTTTCCCACTTTGCTGACAACCATCAGGTTTGACTGCTTGCACAGGGTTTATATCTGTCTGCAGGATTTTAGAAGTGTCTAATTTGCAAGATGACACACACACACACATAGTTTTTTCAAGCTTTTTCATGTTGCCATCTTTGTAAACCCATAATTTCAGCTTTTTCTTTTTCATGCCCATCACTACCTATACCAATATAACCATGTAAAATTTCAAAGAAGTATGACTGGTAGTTTTTCTATATAGAGTAGTGGTTCTCAACCCAACCTATGTTGCCACAGCACCCATGGTTACTGTAAGAACCTGATAATGGTGCTATGTGTGATGGACGTTTTTTTTTTTTGACTGTTAACAAAGTAGGGCTAGAAGGCCAGAAGGCTGCAATGCTTCTTTACTGGTATAGTTTAGGTTCACTCATTTGTGGAGTGAGCAGCAAGCCTTTTCAAATGAACTGCTGCATCTGATACAGCTTACTTAAAAAAAAAAGTATACTAGGTGAATACATTGAGTTTTGACCAAAATTGACTTGTATGGCACATTCCTGGAGTACAGTTTCATGAGAGTATCCATCAAGGAAAATCCCAAGATCAATTTTGCTGCTGTATCAGGATCCTGATTGCTATTGCCACCTTATATATATAACTTTTATTCTGCTTTTATATTTAAAAAAAAGTTCTTGAGTCCCATTTAGGCATTAAAAATGGTGTCATATGGCATCACTAAATATTGAGCATGCCTGAATTTTCTCTGCAACTGGAAAATGGCATAGGGTACTTTGTTTTTTGTCTATTTTTTAAGCAAAATGTACACAAAGTGTATGAATTAATTTTATTGAAATTATTGTCACGTTGAGTGACTTCAAAATATACATTTCAAGATTGGTTTTGGAATTATTTGTTTTCTGTTATTTTGTTGTTGAGCTTGAGCTCATTGCCCAGGATCATGAACACTGAAAGATGCTCCTGGGTTTGTTCGAGCCATAACCCAATTAAGTTGGGATAAGTGGCATAAAAAATGTATGTATGTATATATAATGGGCTTACAAGTAAAACCCTCCAAGTTCAATTTCAAGCAAAAATGAGTTAATTGTGCCACTAAGTTCAGATTTTCTAGCTCTACTTACTGGTAAAATCTGCTAAGTCCTACTTACTTTCTTTCTTGAGTTATAACTCAATATAATTCAAGTTTTAAAACTTTTCAGCTGTTTTTTTTTCAGCAATAACCTCCTAGGTCCACTCTTGTGACTTGACTGTTTTTAATTGTCCAAGTCATAGAAGGCTTCTTGGAGTCAGATAGAATCCATTTGTTTCATGTATAAAACCTGGAAAATGAGTTTTTTTTTAAATACAGAATGTGAATGATTCAGTAGGAGGGCTAATGGAGAGTAAAAATTCAAGGAAACTAATGGCTGTATTTCCAAAATTTGAGATATTTTATGGTTAAGGAGCATAACTATTGAAAGTTGGGTTGTTGGCAAACTAACAACTGAAATTAATGACAAATACAGAGTGAAAACTGTTGTGAAAACCTTGTAAGTTCTGCTGACATTCAGAAATTCATTGTAACTTGTCTGGGAAAATCCATCAAGTCTATGTATTAACAAAAAATCTATAAAAGGCAATAATTTCAGGGCAACTTGGTTTAGTTGTGGTGTTCCACTGTGTTCCCTCAATCACCAGAATCACACTGTAGGAAAAACATCTCATTTGGTTTGGTCATGAAACTGATTTTTCACTGCCTCTCAAAGTTTAAAATCCGGTTTTTTCAAAACTTGGCTTCCTTGACTTAACGGGTTTTACTTGTAACCCCATGATATGTTCTCAAGTTGGACAACCAATTGTTCTATGTGACAATTATTCCTTCCTTCATGTCTAGAAGTTTTATTCCTATAAAGCAGCTTTACCCAGATATTACAGATTATACAAGATGAAATGTCTCAGGATGTTGGCTACAGTTGCTAATGAGATGTATTTTAATTCTATCTTCTATCTGTGTTCTCAAGTAAGATTTTAGTGTCAAGCCACTGCTGTGATGTTAGCAACTAACATGTTTTCTGTACATTGAGTACTGCCTCTATTTTTATGAACTACTAATTTCAACCCCTAAAGTCATTTATTTTGTATTTGATACTTTACCATATGCTGCCAAAGCACCATGCATATTCTCGCCTTAGAATCACCACTTCTTAAAAAAAATTTTTTTAAATAAAAAGACGAAAATGCAGACAATTAAATTATGTTAGCCCTATTCCCTATAGTTTTGGGCACATATCCACTGGCTTAACACTAGAACTTCTGGAGCAGTCAATTTGACTGCTGCATTAAAAGTATCAATAGTATCAAACTATTATTCTGTAACATGTTATTTGTTTTTCCAGATGTCATTTGGTATGTCTATAATGTTAAAATTTTCAAAATGTTGATGTTAGATAGGAAAAGTAAAACTTGCAGAATCCCTTTGTTGCCAAACAAGCAAGTAAAGTGCATTAAAAATCGGTGATCAGTTGAAATGGCTGCCCTGGTGATTCTAGTGTTAAGTGGTTTATGCCTATTGCCAAGTTTTTCAGAGATAAGTTGATTTGAAGCTGTATCTTCTAGGCAATGACACAAGGCCTATTGTTGATGGGAAGGAGGACAATGCAGAAATGTACTCAGCTCACAATCTTTACTTGTATGATGTAAGTTTTGACACTTGATGACAAGTTCCCTTTATGGCTGTCATTCATCCCTTGTATATTTTTAGTATTAATCAAGTTATTTTCGATGGATGCAACATAGATGGCTCTTTATACAATACAGGAGGAGATGCAAGGACGACCTAAAGTGGCAGCCTTCCTCAGTTCACTGGGAGATTACAGTGCCACCATTGAGGCTGCTCCAGCTGATCCAGATTCAAAGAGTCACCAGGCTAAGGGTGGTGCTCAGATGGGGACTCTGATTGGTGTCTATCTTCCATGCATGCAGAACATTTTTGGGGTTATTCTATTCATTAGAATGACATGGATTGTTGGCACTGCAGGAGTATTCCAGGGTTTCATGGTTGTCTTCACTTGCTGCTGTGTTGTAAGGATCTTTTATCAACATGCCTTTTGTGTTCACTGCAGTTGGAGTGCATTTGCATCAATATTGTATTTTCTTGCACCAGACACTTCTGACGTCCATCTCAATGAGTGCAGTAGCTACAAATGGTGTTGTACCAGCTGGAGGCTCATATTATATGATATCACGGGCTCTGGGCCCAGAATTTGGTGGAGCTGTTGGCCTTCTCTTCTATCTTGGCACAACAGTTGCAGGCGCTATGTACATAATTGGAGCTGTTGAAATTCTTCTGGTACTTTGAGTCCGATCCCATACCTTGATTAACTATCTTTTGAATTTCTCATCAATCTGTTGTCTGTTGCCATTTCAGCTCTATATGGCACCTGGCATGTCTGTTGGAGGAGATGTCCAGGTGGATCTAGAAGCCCGCTTCAACAACTTCCGTCTCTATGGCTCTTGTTTGCTTTTTCTTCTCTGTTGTATCATCTTTGTTGGGGTCAAGATGGTGAACAAGTTTGCAAGTGTGGCTCTTGCTTGTGTGCTCCTATCCATCTTGGCAGTCTATACTGGAATCTTTGTGAATGTGAATGGGAATGACAGCCTGATGTAAGACAGTTTCTTCCTTAATCTCACATTTTCTTCTGATAGATTATTCATAGGGATTCTCATTCTTCTCTTAGGATGTGCTTATTGGGGAATCGTCTCCTGAATCAAGACAAAATTGGAGGGAATTGTTCAAAGGAATTTGGAACTCCACTTTTCAAGTCCCTCTGTTCATTGAAGGACAATGTGTCTAGTCCTACCAATGAAAGCAGTTATGAATGTGATCCATACTTCCATGAGAACGAAGTTGAATCGGTCCCTGGCATCCCTGGTCTGAGTTCTGGTGTCTTCTTGAGTGAGTTTACATTTTAAACTCTTAAATATTCCTGGTGGGAGATCTTGGTAAAATCTATGAAACATAGTCTGATAATCCTTGGTATAAAATTGATATTGCTTGACTGACTTTTGTCAGTTCACATTTCAGTTAATATGCTGGAAGTTCTTTTGTCATGTTTTTATTCTCCAAGGTACACTTCAAAAGTTCTTGCCAAATGGCATTAAGTGTTCCCTGATCCAAAGGAAATTTAAAAAAAATTGTTTTCAGGGATTCAATGAGATTCTGTGATTTTTCTGAAAATTCTCTGCCAATATGGTAACAATAAAGTATAATGCCAAATGAGGTCACCCCACAGGGCTGATGACCTTTACCTGGAGAGATGTGTGAGTGCTGATTTGGTATAGTTCCCAAGGGTGCCCAACTGTGAAACTGTATTTTGAAGGGATAAAACTTTCACTGAGCATTCCTGCCACCACCACACTATATTTGAATCTCCCTTGTCAAGTTTCTGCAGCATTTCTTAGTAAAACTTGGCTCAAGCCTTTTATTTTTCCTTGGTTAGGGCATGGGAGACCCATCAAGAATAAAGTTTCTGCACCCCAAGATGCTGAATTATTTTAACTGCTGCCATTTCAATAGGGTTTCCTCTATGACAGGATATGTCACATTCAGTCTTCCTGAATCATGGCCTTCACTTTAAACACTTTTTTTTGTTACTAGCTGATATTGAACAACCTTCAGGGGGCAAAAATGTCCACACCTGAACTGGTTTAGAAAAACCATGCATCCACAAAGTACATAGATGGGAAAGGTCACTCATTGATGATTTCATCTTTTCAAAGCATTCTTTCATGGTTGGGCACCTTTGAAAAACGTACCAAATTAGCATGTGCAGATCTCTCCAGGTCAAGGTCATCAACCCCAGGATGGTGTCTTCTGTTGATGTTAAGATTGGTTCACACTCTATGTGTTATGGGTCCTTTGCTTTAATGTTTGAGCAGGTTGGCAGATGCACACATGTACACCAAGGGTTTTCATAAAATGCAAGGCTTGCATGTGGAAATGGGATGACTTCAACTGAAAATGCAAGCCTTATGTTTTGTGAAAACCTTCTATCTATGTGGACATGTTTGCACACATGCATCTGCCTACCTTCCCAAACATTGACATGAAGGATGCATGACACACAAAGTGTGAAACACCCTTTATGCTACACTTTGTCATGTTGCAAAAAAATTCATTTTGGATCAAGAAAAATTTAATGGCATCTGGCAAGAACTTTTGAAGTGCCCCTTTTATTAGACCTGTTTTTTTGTTGTGTGTATTTCCTATGCCAGCATGCCTTAATGGTGATGTCTGGGATAGTGCATGATGTATGGGTGCTTTTGCTACATTTTGCTATGCATTTCATTTTGCTGTCATACTGTATCCCATCTCATCAATGCATGTCCTAATGGGCATGGAAGGATGCAATGTTAAACCTCTGAATGCATTCATATTACATCATAATACAGATATGCATGCCAACATTCAATTAGTATACAATATGCACAGTGCATAGAGGCCTGCTCAGATCAGGCCTCCTAAAATAACATTTTTTAATGTATGCAAGCTAGAGTTTTGTCTAAATTTTGGGGTTATGCCCCCATGTAATTATATAATTCTATATTGTCAAATGGTTTTGGACATTTTTCCTTTCACATGCTTGTGAGCCTTTGAGGATCGTGGCTATCACAGTTCCTGCTCGTCTGTGATGAGAGTTATTTAGCCCTATAACTACTGTAAATACTAAATGAATTATTGAAAGTACAGTATCTTGAAGAGATTTTTTGGGAATGAAGAGTTGAACATTTGACCATCTGGGTTCTGGTAGTTACAGGGTTAAAATGGCATAATATAAAGCTGGTTTTGAACTTTTATTTCTTTGTGTCTTCCTTGGTTAGGAGAGTTGAAATCAACTTTATCATTGCAGGGAATATCCAGTCATCTTATCTGTACACTGGAGCCTATATGTCACGATATGATGAGAAGGATGATGCTATAGGAGTTGGTGTCATTGATGAATTCTCACCATTTGTTCAGGCAGATATTACAACCTCCTTCATTGTGCTCATCGGCATTTTCTTCCCTTCTGTCACTGGTAGGTCCTGTTCTTCCTTGTCTACAGTTACCCATGATATATAGGGTTTTTGGCACTTTTAATATCTGTTAACATGCTGTTTTTACCTCCTTGCATTTCATCTTCAATTGAGCCCCTTTTTGCATACTACCTTCATGCTGCTTTCGTGCACACTGCATTTACTGTCTTGCCCACAGGTTTATAGTGAGCCTCCTATCTTTCTAATGAAATTTTTCATGAAATTGCTTTGATGTCAATAGTTAAAAATAGTTTGTTGTATCTCTCAACCTTCTACTATAAACAAATAGGTTGATATTCTTCATAAAATCTCTTAAGTTATTTTGCTATTTCACATGGTAAATACAAAGTAGACCTAAATTATGTAATGCACAAATTTAGCATGGAACTGTCATGGTTCCCACCAGTGAACTGTAGAGAAGGTTCTCTTACAGAGTTACTATCTGTCTATGGTCCTGTGCTAACTGTTGGCTTTCATATGCATGGGATCTATAGGGATTTTGACCTAGACTTCAACCATAAACAAATTTAGAAAGTATATTAAAATACCTCATGTATGAAAGGAAAGTTGAAAGACTGAAAGGAAAAGCTTTTTATCTGCAAAAAAATTATTTCATTGACCTCCACATGGAAAGAGTGAATATTCCAGTGTGCTTCTTCTTAAAACTGGGGAAAAATATGGTATGCATAGATAGACCAGTTTATCTTGAACATGCTCACAAAAAACTACTATTTTCAATGAAAGGAAAAAGGTTCTAGGAGCACTAAGCCAACTATACTTTTTTCAGACAATTCTTGCTGATAGACCACTTTTGCTTTTGCCCCTTCACTTGTAAGCCTAATGCATTCGAAAAATGAAAGATCCAGAACCTATTCATAATTTATGATTTCCAGAAGGCATATCAGTTGCCAAACCTCAATTCTTTACATGAAGAGAGAATAATTGCTTGCCAATTCCTACATTTGTTTGACTGCATTCAGCAGGATATGACTGTACTTGTTTCAGAGTGGAATAAGGGTGGAATCATATGTCTCCCAGCATATGGAGCCATAATTTATCCATCAATCTAGAAATGAGCTCCAATTATCTGGAAGTTATAACCATATTATATATGCCATTTCTCAGTCAATGAGCTTGATGCTGGAGAAGCACTACTCATCTTTGATAAATGTTTCTAAATGAAATTGGAGTAGATCACCATCAGTCTCCTTAGGTAGCTAAATGAGTCTATCCACATCAAATGATCTGAAGATTTGTAGCAGAAAATCTCTCTAAATATGTATATTCTGTTTCTGTTTTAAAAGTTCATCTATTTTCCATGAAGGCATGAATGGATGAAATTATAATCTTTAATAATGAAAGGATTAGTCTTTTTATATATTATTTGTACCACTCTCATGATATTAATGGATATGATGGAAATGCAAATCTGGAGAGAATAAATTGCATTACTGGAACAAATGTCAGCTTGGGTTCTCCTATGTATAGTGATTATTTCAAATAATCTCATGTGTGAAGAGAATGTCAAAGTTCCCTCCTTCATACCTCTAATGGACACTCAGACATGACTGACAAATTGTTAACACATCAGGTAATTTGCCATGAAGATGAAATGCGAACATAACTGCTTTTCAGGAAAATTTCTAAGCAATCAGTCATATTTATTATATTACAGAAGTTTTTATCTACAAGGATATTTATGTAATGCATTATATTATAAATATTCATATATAAATTATGACATGATTAATATTTTTGATAAATTAGGGCTGCACCGACGTATTGACAACCACAGAGATTCGCCTCTGGTGTTGCACCATTGACGCCATGGCTACGGTAAGGTTGGAAGCTGTCGATGCCGAAGCCTGAAAGAGCCAGAGATTCGGTCTCCTCACGTTGGTGCCTGTTCATGGCAAAACCAATAGTCATTGCTGGCCCTGTAAGCCATAAGAGATTTTCCCCAACTGAAGGCAAGAACTATGACTTGAAGGAAAAAAAAAAACACAATCTAGGAGAGAAACAAAGAAATAGCTCTATTCTGGCTGAAAAATCACAAGATCGCTGATCGCAAGAAAGCTGAAACTTTTCTTTCCAAACCACGTTTAATCAATTTCCAAAAAAAAAGAAAACTACGTGAGTGTGAGCGCGGTTTGTTGCCGGGCCCGCCTGTCTCGCTGAAAGCCTTCCCCGCCGTCCTCTCCCAGAAAAAAGTATCGATCAGATTATGCGAGGAGTCCTCGATTTACGTCGTTTCGATATAACGTCGCTAACATATACGTTGCGTCGTTCCGATGTGACGTCGTAAATCGAGGACTTCCTGTATATAATTTAGTCCATGGGAAAATAGGTTTCGTTTTACGTCGTGTTTTCCGGGAACGCATCCACGACATAAATCGAGGACTTATTGTATTTCAGCCCGATTGTAGGAACTAGTGGAGGAAAATACCCGTAAAGATCGTGAAATAATTGCATCTCCTTTTATGCTGTGCATTAGCGAGTAGTGCCGTTAAGCCCTCATATCAGCAATAGGTAACCATGACGGACGCAGACAGGCTGGAAAGGTCTAAAAGTGGTCTCTATCGTTTTCAGGAGACTCATTGATTAGTATCATAAGGCTTCCAAATAGGCCTATTTGAATTCGTATGCGATTTCACTTTACTTTCGCAATCTATAGAGTATAAATCATCATCGGCTCTAGCACCGGTCAATGGGTACGAGTTCAAAATGCGCCATCAGTCTACCGGTCAAATGTGGCCATCGGCACGGTCCTAACATGAATATAAAGATGATAACATTTTTTTAAATCGGTGGTTCCAAATGGAACCTCTGGGCACGAAAGAGTTGAAATCAGACTATAGTCTAGTGATTTTTGTACGAAGGTTTTGGGATCCATCTAGGCCTGGGTTCTTCGCGCTAACATAAGCGATGACTATTTTCGCAGAAAGTACGGAGTAGGCTATAGTAATGGCATTAGGCCGAGTTAAGTAGATGACGCTTCTCATCTCTCTCTCGGGTGACTGGGTCGCTTATGTCGCGTGACAGGGTGGCCTGGGCTCGAACCTAGCCAAGTCAAGTGCATATTTCCTAGTTCAAGCGCCAGCGTGCTTGGGAAGGGAGTACCCAAGCACAGAGCGCTCCTATCTCTAGATGTGGGACGTTGAGGAACCGCGGCAGTGAAGGTCGAATCCCAGGGGAATCCCAATGCAAAGGGGAAAAATGCTTACATTTTCAGTAGCCTAATACTTCTTTTTTTTTTTTTTACGGGTCATTAAGGCATTTTCAACCTTCTGCAGTGTTTTCACTTGCGTTGGATATTTTTTCACTTGACTGACACTCATGCATGAGGAACGTCCCATGAACGTGTGTCCGAGTCAAGTGAAATGTTGTCTAATGGGAAAAAAGTGAGAATATTCATCATTCGCTTTACATACTTAGCGTTTGGCATACTTCAGGTGTAATGTCAATATCGATCATCGGCAGGTCATATATCGTTTTAGGCCGATATATCGGATCACCTAATATCGGCCGATACCGATAACCGATAAAATATCGTTGCATCTCTAATTACTATAAAACAATAACGAAATGTCATAATGTTACGTGATTACTACTTAGACATTAGAAAAAGAAAAAGTAAACATAAGTAGCTTTTCACCAACCAGATTCTTTCCTCTGTGTGAAGCAGCATCTTAATGCATCTTCATATGAAAGTAAATTACCTTAAATTTTAGGAAGGTAATTTAATAATTTCATTCCATATGCATGATTTTCACTTCTCTACAGAAGGAAATTGCTGCAACTATCAGAATGTCTATGCAGAAGAAACTCCCTCCCCCCCTGCCTCAGGCTAAGAAATAACACAAAATCGAAAAAAGTTCCAAGACTGACTTGATAAAATATAAAAGAGGTGAAATGCAGAAGTAATTGATTTAATCCCCTTTTTCTTCTCATTTCCTGTGAGGGAGTTTGTCATCAGTTCGTTGCCAGTTTCAGGGCTTTCCAGATTTGTCACTGAAAATTGAGAGCACTGTCTGCTTAATTTTCGAAATGGAATGGGCGTTTGTCAGTGAGAGAGTCACAACGAAAACCCTCTCTCGTGAACTGTCCCAAAGTTAGAATTCAAAATTTTCTCTGTTGCTTTCTCTACTAGCTTGAAGATGGCATTACTGAATAAGACAAGACATATTCAGGAGCCTTCAAATTTAAGTTCAAACTGAGGGCATCTGTACAAATGTGGCAATTTGAATTCGAAGATGCAAGACATACAAATACGACAAACCTCCTGCGGGACTAGGAGTGCACGACTGTACTGGTATGGCCATACTGCTCAATGGGTTAATGCATTCACTGCCAGGGATTTAAATGTATGAAAATTTTCATCTTCAATAATGTTAAGGATGTGGTATCTTGTAGGTTAAAAGATACTTGAAGAAACGAGATGTCATTCAAATAGCTGTTTTCATGCTGTCTTCCTAAGTTAAAAGTCGTGTATGGCCCTAGAGAAATGAATTTGTGAAAACTGCTATAGCTGTATATGGCAGCAAATGTGTTAATATTGTAGATTGAGGCAGCATTAAATACTCTCGTATGATTGGGGCCTTGGGTGAAAAGTTCCAGATCGTTGACTAACCCATTTCCCTTATTTTGAATACTTCAACATTCTGGAGGATTGATGATTAGAAAAGAGATGGAGTCTCTTCTTAGTTTCTCTATATTGCACCAAAACAACAGACTTCACAAGAGAACAGACTGGACTCCCTTGCTGACAGTGATTCTTCACAAACATGACTAGTGTTAATAATAGGCTAGGCTCAACAGAAAGGGGAGACAGTGACATGAATATCATACAACTTATGATGACTTGAGTGAGAAGAAAAAAACAAGTGTAAAAAGAAGTCCATCCACAACCTCCATTGAAGGATACCTTTGAGAAGACAGGCCATAGGAGCCAGCATGTCATTCAGATCACAACTTGAGATTTCAATGTTGAGTATTGCACAATGTGCATCACGACTGCAGATGGTGGAAGAAGTCTTAGAGGGCCTGCTTCTTACGATTCTCTCGAGTGAGAACATCGAGAACTTCCGTTGCAGCTGTTGGGATCTTCGTTCCTACAATAAAAGTGAGACAACACACATCTAGTCACAAGAAAACTCCAGAATGCATCATTACCAATGGGGACAGAAAGGTTTTAAGGTACTAGAATCAACAGATATTATTGCCTGTATTGAGTGAAGGTCAAGTGTTCCTCCAGACTTCTCTTCTAAGATATGCCAATCCCAGTAAAGGAAAATGCTTTTAGCAAGAGTGCCAGCCTACTGCCACCTTACAAAGGGCCACAATCCCCTCCCTCCCCCTTTTTTACATTCTCTATGAAAGCATTTAATAAGATGGGGAAACTACTTCATTATCACTTAATGGAGTCCATGCATGCACTTCCAAGGAAGCAAAAGAATTGCTCCTCAGTTTGAATGTGATTTGATGTTTAAATAAAAGCTCGTTCCTCCTTATTTAGAAGATACAAACAGATGAATTCTAAGGAACCCATCCAGTAACATATGGGCAAAGCCCTTAATCATCCCAAGTAGTTCAATGAGAGCTCCAATAGACCCTGCAAACCTGAGCCAACAAATAGGAATTTCCCAGGAAGGATATGCAAGCGGGCAGGGCTGGCCCCACCCGCCCACAGGTCTCTGTTCCTGCAAACCTTGGTTGCAGGTTCGCAAGGGTATTCCTAACCTGAATAGGCCCTCTGATGAGCACAGTCCGAAAACCTGCAATGACACCAAGGCCTCCTGCTCATATGAAAGTTCCCATACTCAAAAATCTTCACCCTATCCTTTTAAGTAACTTGTCTTCAAGTCCTCCTCTCAAATATTATCTATCCCCTTTACAGGCCTCCATAACTGCAACATATTGTTCTAGAATGAGGCTCACTAATGCTGTGGACATGAAAAAATGACTGTTCAATTGTACACTGACAATGGCTAAATGCATGAGGATCATGGGATTTATCCAATCACATGCACTCAAAATATATGAGTCTCTCATCAATAGTGACCTCTAAATCTCTGTCCTTACTAAACTTCCCAAGGATGTCTTCTTCAAATGTATTTAGAGAGACATTAATGGACTTCATGAAATGTTTTTGTGCTATCAGCTGATATCTTTTGGCTTTCTTCAGGTCTGGCCCAACCCTCCTCATATCACAGAATTAAATCTATCTCATAAGCATCATAAATTTTCTGAATCTTAACACGTTGACGACCAGCCTATTTTTGCTTGTCCGCCGCGTGGGACCACGTGCATTTTTTTTGTCAAAAAATGCGTCCTGCCATCAGGCCGCATGGTCCCAGAAAACATTTTTTTTCGCTGAGTTTTTTTAAATGTTGAATTTTTTGGAATTTTTATCAGTAATTACGAAATCATAATCTTCTGGAACGTTCTCAACAGTTCCAGAGGGTATTCATTGAAAAAAAATTGCATCCTGGCATCAGGACACATTGTCGCCAACGTGTTAACTGAATCAGTTAGTGCCTCTTATCCCAGCACCTGCTATGGAGGGCAAACCTACAATCAGATCCTGGCTCTGTCAGGTGCAGCCCGGGTCTGAGTAGACCAAATTGTGGTGATGAACTGGTTCTGGTTGATCTGGTATCAGGTTAATGATCCTACCATCAAGCTACATGGGTTCAACCAACACTGCCACTGTGGTCCTCAATCGCTTCCAGACCAGTCATGAGTGTTATACACTCAACTACCTGCAGGGCCTGAGTTATAGCCTGCTGTGTGAATGCTGAGAGCTATAAAAAAAAGTCACACATTATTGATGACTACCAGCTGCTTTGGTTCCTCTCACCACTTACCTCACCAAATTTTTTTTTTTTTTCACAGAGGCATGCAATTAATAGTAAAACAAGAATGTTGTCTCCTCTAGCTGTGCTGAGAATCCATAATGAATGAATTACCAACATCCTTGAAAACTAAAAATCAGATACCTAAAAATGATCTCTTCCATCTTAGCTTGGATTACCACAAAGCTAACCTGGTTGCTCTTATCCTCATTCTTAAAGATCAGAATCACAAAAAACTTTCACTTCCAAGGAACTGCACAAAATGTTGCCCTAGAATAACTTGTTTACCTGAAAAATGAGCTCGACTGTTTACTTGTTCAGTCAGACAGAAGGATAAATATCAGCACAATTGAAACAATGAATGAAGATGTAAGTTCATGGAATTGATCAGATCTTTCTTGGCTTTAAAGCTGACATGAGACAATAACCAAAATACATATTAATTGATGTAGTATATGGTCAATAAAACCTTAAAATCTTTTGAAAGAAGAGTTCTTCAAATACTCCATCCTTCATCATATGTGATAGACCCATTAAGGGCCAGTATGAAGGGTTTAGGGATACTCTACCCAAAAAGAGATACTTTATCCATACCTGGTCCAAAAATGCATGCAACTCCTGCCTTGAATAGGAAATCATAGTCTTGAGGAGGAATGACACCCCCACAGACAATAAGGATGTCTCCACGGCCCATCTTCTTGAGGGCTTGAATCAGTTCTGGGATGAGGGTCTTGTGTCCAGCTGCCTGAGATGATGCACCCACCACATGTACATCTGCATCTACTGCCTGCTGTGCCACCTCCTCTGGGGTCTGCCAAAAAATCATATCTCCTAATTCTCTTGGGCACTTCAATGGACACTTCAATGTAAGGTATTCCTTGGTCCTGAAAATATGGAATATCCCATACCAATATCACCTAGCAACGAAATGGAATTGATAAGAAGGGGGTTACACCAAGAACATCATTTTCCATTACCTTCTTCCTAAGCTGATCATTAAGTATTCATATGCAAAATGAATGAAAGGATCAGATAAGTAGTCACTACCAGCACTTTCATTTTGCTTAAAAAAAATTATGAGCAGCATGGTGGAAGGAAAGGGCCAGATTTCTGAAAGTTTATCCCTCAAAAGCAGTGTTTTTGTCACCTACATCATAGAAATCTAACTTCCATTTGAAGTGAGAGGCAATCAGTATACTTCACTGTTCACTAACTACTCCTCCTTTTTAGATCCACAACATAATCCCCACCTTTTGTTTTCGAAATTGTGAAAATATCAAAATTAAACTACCACTATTTGCTTGGTTTCGTGTGTGTTTCAACAAATGCTCAAAAGAATAAATAAAATGAAGCATTCCGATCAGTTGAGCTTCCTCTTGTACCTTTTCCTTTACTGGAATGCGGTAATGATGAAATAAAGCCTGTATCATTCACTCCCTGAATGAATTGGTATGACAAGGCACAGAACCAGTAGCAACTATGGCAGTGAGTATCATGATTCATTATACTGCATGTGTTCAAACATGATATTGGTGTTCCAAGCTGATGCTAAAAGAAAAACAAAAATTGTGCTGTGTCCTGTTAAATCCATATCTCAAAAACACTGACCTTGAACTCGGGCCTCTTGTTAGTGTGACAACATGATTTCCCAGTGACTTGTTCCAGTTTCACAAGAATAAACATGAAATGCATTTTAATCCTTGTTCAATGTTGGTGTGAAAAAATTCTCTACTGAAGTTTACACTTTGAAATGATCCTGGAGATCTGTATCTGGCCTTAGCAAGGGTTGATTTCGAAGGTGAGACTAAGAATGAAGATGAGAAAGATGATTTCACATGACCATGATAACCAAGTTCATGGGTTCAGGTCTAAGCACAAGAAGCTACATCAGTTTGAAACTATAAGATAAAACAGGCTTAATTGGAACATGCATTCATACTACGAAGTTGAAAACGAGGCTGAGCAAATACAGGGTCATCAGAAAAGATGCTCTAGTTTTCATCACGAGTATTTTCTAAAATAATACACATAGAATCTGGAATTATAGATTACAAAACACAGGATGTTTTGGAGCTTTTAATTATGAAAACACATTTTGAATATGGGAGGCTCCAGTATCCATGATCCTCTGCAGGTGTTTACTGAGGTCAACGATAACTGTAAATGGTGTTTGCTGATGAATGCTTTCCACGGCAGTTCTGATTTCCGCCTTCAATTTTTCAACCGTATGTGAGTTATTCCTGTAGACATTAACCTTTAGAAGTCCCAATAAAAAGTAATCACAGGTATTAAATTCAGAAGAGTATGGTGTTCTTGAACATCCGCATTTGAAGTGACCATGATATACCTTCTTATTGTCCTTCGCATTACCGGTATTTACGAATTTTGTCACTGGCCTGTTTATTGCAGATGTGCTTGGAGTGTCCCTACATCAAAATTCACTTTGAAAACCACACTGCACTTCAATAACACTGCCAGTTTGATCAGACTTTTTCACCATAAACACCTGCTGCTCTGTGATATACGCTATCTTGTTAGCTACTGTTTCTTGAAATTAGCACTAGGACTGCATAGTACGATACAAAATTCCCAAGCCTGATGTGTCGAATGATACCACATATGAGGTTGTTGGCAATGTAGTTCAGGAAATATAAGTGAAGGAAACTGGAGCATCTTTTTCTGATGACCCTGTAGGAGACAGCCTAGGCTAACATGAAAGATATTCAAACTTGACAAAAAACAAAAAATGAAAATAGCAAAGGCCTGCATCATGTAAGAAGATATCTATTTTTCTTGGGTTCTGTGCTACTGTTAGTATTAAAACTGAACCTGGTATTGGAAGAAGCCTCTCAATCAGGTGATCACAAGAGCATGAGACACTAACATAATATTTCAACTCATTCAATGACTCTTGATTTTTCTCATCAAATGAAACTTTATAAACAAACAGCATCCTTTAACATCTTTCATAGAGGTTTCAGTTACTCTAATCTGAATGAGGTTCAAAATATGATTCAAACTACAAAATGAATAAACTATTATCTCCTGGATCTTTTCATGGATTTACAGAGGGAGTTCCAATACAATCAAAGTATCACAGGCTTTCAACTAGGCTGAAAATGGATCAAAGGGCACATCTCAATATCAATATCAATATGGAGGGATTTTGTGATATTAGTTCATTGTCAGGTCATTCATTATTCTTCAACAAGGTTTCTGGGTACCTATATCCAATGTGAGTTCTGATAAAGGGGAAACCCAGGTCTGTGTCTCTCCTATGAGTATAATGATTTCCATATATTCATGATCATCTAGTTCTTTTCTCATGTCAGTTGTTAGGTAGATGCATGCACATGAATCCAAGTAACCAACAGAAAATTTGAATGCAAAACATGACAATCACCATGCTGGGTATGATGCAAAATCGAAATGTACAGGTAGAATGCCTTCCCTAAATAGACCTACTTAAAATGTGACTAAAAAAAAACAGGACTGAGTGCATGGGGTAAAAGCACATACAATATGATGGTGAAAGAAAGAGTGAACATTTTGTCATCAAAATGAAAGTAAGAAAGAGCTTTATATAAGGGCTTTCTCACTTCAAAAATCAAGCCTTATGCACATCATGGATCCTGTGCATGTTTTGGACAGTGTAATGAAGGGAAGAGGGGTCTGTTTGAATTGTACAAGGCAGTGCACTCCAGAGTCATTACAACTAAATAGGGTGGCATAAAAAAAGGGCATCCTGTTTCACTTCATGGAACTCTCTATGAATGCTAGGTCCATGTATATGTGTATGTATAGCACCTTGGCTGGAAACAGGTTACTGCCCTACCAGGCCATTTGCCTAATAAGCCTTTTTCGATTAATCGAAGGACTCTATATACAAGGGATGGCTGAAAAGTTCCCAGCCTTAGTAGGAAGGGGATAGGCAAGGGGCGTATTATTTATATATATCGTAGCTTAACATCTTGTGATTATGCATACACAATTTCATGAAAATACTCTCAGTGGTTCATTTTCAGCAGTGAACGTGGTTCACTGAAAATGCCCTGGCCAACATGCTCACTAGACTTGATGCCTTGCAACTTTTTCATGTGGGGCCTTTTAAGTCAAAGGTATATACCACCTGGCCGGCAGACATACATTCCGGAGTTGAAGCAGCATATATTGAATGCTTTTGGCAAAATCACTATTGAAATCAGATAAAAAAACACTGTTGGAGTACCGTGAGCATCTTGAGCACATTCTTGAAAATGATGGATTTCATGTTGAAGTGCATAACTTGTGAACGGCATTTCCAAATATTGTGAAAATTCTCAATGTTCTCTAAACAAAGTCCCAACTATGGCAAAACAGCCTGCAGGTGTAGGGCAAGGCTTAAGGAACTTAAAAAAAGAAAGGACAGTGAAGGATCCTATCCCAGAAATTTGTCAGGCAGCCTGGGTCTCTTCAGGGGGTTAAGGCCACAAGACTGACTCACAAACCCTATCCAGATAGTTTCTGCTGTCAGGGGTTACAGCTGCAGATGTAAATAGTTGAGGCTGTACCTAATGCCCTAGAAGCAATCCTGGCTGAAGTCCACCTGCTAGTGCCACTATTAAACTATCGATTAGCTCAACCAGCCTCATGACTGAAATGCATGGTAGACCGAGAGTAAAAAAAGGTATTTGGTGCTGAATTTGGCCTAAACTACTCAAGGGTAACAGACTAACCTCCACCCCTGAAATAGTCCCAAATCAAAAGCTAGTACCATATCAGCCGTATTAATGGTATAAACAGCAATTCAAGTATTTTGGGGGTGGGAGTTAGTGAGTGTTATGCTGCTGCCCTGCTATATATATATAGGTTGTTCATGAGCACGAAATGACTAACTCAAAACAGGATGGAATAAAATGTTCATTCCCCGACGTTTCGACATTTTCATGCCTTTCTCAAGGGGAAAGGAAGTGTCGGCACACCTAACATCTCGGTTTCTTGCATGGAGCTCCGCAGTTCCTTGGCGAGGTCGTTGATGGAAAAGGAAAGGCCGCTCTGACTAGAAGAGCTTTCAAATTCTGAGGCTATCGATAGATCAGAGGAGGGTTTGGAAATATCAGCTTGTGATTCTGATCTTGCTGCAGGATATGGAAGTGGCGTGTTAAAATCCTGCCAACGAAAAGTAGAGGGGTGGAACGTCAAAATGCATGGTATGCGTTCCACATTATGGTCTTTATATTGGAAGAGCTCTTCCCGAGAAAAGTTGTCAGCCTTCGAAAAAGCCCTCTGAATGACATGTAGGGGAAACCCTCGAGATTGAAGAGATCTACAGAGTGCGCACAAAGTCCGTATCCCCCCTATACCCCCTATATGTACATCAAGCTAACGCGAGTAATCATGCCACGTTCGTGCTGTTGACCTTCGCACGACCTTGGCACGTGTTCTCCCGCTGTCACAAGGTCTGCTTTCGTACGTACCAACAATCGGACTACGGAGGATCACATACGAATGTTTTGGATTCCTAAGAGGTACGTTCCACCTTTTGTGATACGTATATATAGGGGTATACGGACTTTGTGCGCACTCTGTACAAAGGAAAGGGAGCCTTAAACGACTCCAACAGCTACAGAGGTTTTGCCCTACTCCCAGCTCCCTTCAAACTATTCACCAGACTAATCAACTAATCAATCATCTCAAATACCTCTCACTGCTTCCCTGACGAGCAGTTCGGCTTCCGGAAAGGCCGAAGCATTGACGACCCCATTCGCATCCTGACCTCGAGGGCAGAGGAAGAACTCGCCAAACCCAGGGGTAACTTAACTTATCTGCTGCATCTGTGGATTTCCAGAAGGCATTTGACTCCATCAGCCGTTCCCTCCTACCGCAGAAACTCCATGATGAATTCCATATTGGAGGCCTCATCCTCAATATAAGAGCTGCGATCATCGACACCAACTACCTCCACATCTCGGATGGTCTGAGAATCTCGTCCCCAATCTCCCAACGGAAAGGATTGTT